TTTACTGTCTCATACAGTACTTCCAAAGCAATTTGTTTTAAATGATTATTCAGGATAATTTTATTAAATTATTAATTCAAAAAATTATAAAGCGTAAATTGTGCAAATTATTAATAGCATATCACTCGGGAAACTCTATACATTAGCTAGAATGGAATTGCAAATTACACACTGTACACTCAACAAATATAGCAGGGGGATTATAGCTTTTGTGCCATACTAGAAGAGTCAAGATTAAGCCCTACAGAACCACAGGCTAACAACCAAAATGTTCAAAGAAATGAAATTCTAGCTACACTAATTGCTAAACTGCAACTGAACAGCAAAATAGCAAGGGGAGGCCCATACCCTGAAAATGAGACAATGAAAATATAACTATGACTAATGAAACAAAAAGTTTATTCTTTTGATTTTTAGCACACAATAGATAAATATATAGAGCGGCACGGAGGGGGAGGTGGGGATTTATTAGTTAACAGCTAATAATTAAATCTTAGATGTCATTTATAAATGCACAAAATGTGATTTTTCTAAATACAGTGCTAGTGCCAGCCTATCAGTGGTCCAAATGCAGCAGATCAATTTTAGAAATTGATGCAATTTCCAGCCATTAACTCAAGTTCTCTTATATATACTCAAATGCGGTACACCAAATGAAAATTCTTCAACATGAAGGCTAACTCAGCAAATTTTTGCCTGGCAGTCTAAATTTTGAAGGCAGAGATTTTTTTTTAACAGCGCTACACCGAACTGTCAGTCTAGATGACAGCAGCAGCATGGAACACAAATATCTTAAAGATTGTGTTATTGCTCTCAATTTATTGCAGTGACCCTTAAGCTGATACAAACAATGCCTCCTTTAGGGCGAGTCGTTAATGTTACACATAGTGGCATAAAGAATTTCTTGAACCCAATGGTATAGCAGATCAAGAAAATCAAAAATCAAAACCATCAAGCATTTTAAAAGAATTGCAATCACCAAGTTAGAGCCAACAGAAATTACAATTAGGTGCTAAATCAACACTGCAATTTGCCATGAACGCCAAAACGTCTTGCATTCTCAAATGGAATTATTCTCACAAACAGCTCCAGTTTCCCAGACATATCTTGCTGTTAAGAAGGGGACAACAACCAACATTCCCAGGCCTTCCTCAACACAGAATCAGCTACAAAGACACCATATCAGTAGTTCAGGGCAACTCTCCAATTTCCCTCCACCAGAGACTTCTCGGATTGCCTCAGTACTTCTCCACAGCAACAAACTGCTGCTCCTAACATGCTGTAGAATTTTAGCTGTCTTTTTTGGAAAGGTGATGATTGTTTCTGGGGCAGACACGAGAACAAATTTTATATTCATTTTTCAAAAGTCATTTCAACTCATGCAGCTAAATGCTAAGATTTAGCTGGAATTCACTGAACGGAGCATAGCCCCTAATGTCAATAATAAATGAAGAATTATGCACTACCACACTAAAGTTGGCTGAACCATTTAACTGCTTCATGTCAAAGCAAAATACTTGCACGCTTTCTCCTAAATTATTGCATTTACAGATCAAACTGACATAGATCAAATTTTGATAATTTTGCTAAAATGGCAATTACAAGTCTATATGTACACAAACACCATTCCAGTGCATACGTTCCAACTTTATTTATTGCCTACAATAAGTTGTTAACCTGTACTTCTGACTTCACATCTTTGGTCATTAGCTAAAAGGGAAATGACCCCTTCAAAGTTTACACCCCTGGGCTTTTATAGCCAATGTTGTCTCAATGAAAATGGAAAAAATTAACACATCATCCTTTTTACATGATTTTCACTGGCCCACACGAGCGATCTGGTTGCTCATTCATGTGGGCCAATGATACATTTATATTGCACCCTTCATGCAGGGTACCATTTTGGAAAGACAAACATTTAAATCTAAGGAACAGAAGTAAAAAAAGACTGTCGTGAAAATGTGGAAATCCTTGCAGAAGTTGTGGTTGACAAATTTACGTCAGCTAATTTCACAAATCGGTTTCTATGAAAAAGGCCATTTACCTCATCTGGTCTCCTGCTTCAGAATATTCATACTCCTGTCTTTCATCACAGTACTATCTTATTCTAATGAATACATTAACAAATATAATTTCTCTTGGAAAATAAATCTATAGCCCCTTTGTCTATTTCCTTGATTTATTTTTTCTATCCCATTTAATTTTTATAGACCTCTACATGGTCCCTTCCGAGTCTTTCATTTCAAGACTGAAGAGTCTGTCTATCGGTGCTCAGAGCTCATTTTTAAAAAATGCCTTTAAAAATACTAACCTTTTTACTTTAGTGTTCATTAATGAATGTAATATTTTTACCTTTATCCCGGAATAATATCTATTTTACTGTTTGCCTTACCTTATTGAGGAAGAAATAAGAAATCGCTTAGTACTACCAGGACATAAAATTTACTGGGACAATGAATCAATTGAAAAGATATTTATCAGCACAGTTCGACTCTTTCCTACAGAAATGTCCTAATATATTTGTGAAACATCACATCTGTTAACCTGATGTCATTAGAAGAATTTGGCAAAAACAATATCCTTTCTGTGTGATTTAGTATTCTGATAATCGTCACTAAATTATACTTTTTATCTTTTATCCACATTTCAAACCACATTACTTATCCTAGAACAATTAATTTAATCTCCAGTGAACCACATGATTCAGTTATTTTATTCAAATAAATCATATATTGAGCCTATAAATGCTTACTTTCTTTAGCTCAGTTAGGGAGGTGGAAAGAGGATGAAGTATTAGTGTTAGAGCATTCGCCTCGCAAGTGAGGGGACCTGGGTTTGATTCCCGGGCAGGGTGAACTTTTGGGCAAGTTTCCTTACTCCACATGCCTCTGGTTACGTAACAGTAAGTAGGAGCCTAGATGTTAGTCGACTGGTGGATCGTTTATCAAAAAAAACAGTATATTCTGTGAAGCGCTTTGAGACTTCTTGAAGATGTGATAAAGCGCTAAATCAAATGCAAAAATTATTATTAATGTTGCTAGAATTATAATGCTGTAAGGTATTAGACAAAGTGCCACATGAAAGGCTTGTAAGAAACATAGTATAAAAAACATGGTATAAAAGGGACAGTGGCAGCGGATCCAGAACTGGCTGGGAGACAGAAAGCAGAGAGTTGTGGTGAACGGCTGCTTTTCTGACTGGAGGGAAGTGTACAGTGGTGTCCCCCAGGGATCGGTATTAGTACCACTGCTCTTCTTAATATACATAAATGATCTGGACTTGGGTATAGCAAGTACCATTACCAAGTTTGCGGACGACACAAAGTTAGGTAGGGTGGTAAACAGTGAGAAGGATAGCAGCCAACTGCAGGAAGACATAGACAGAATGGTAAAATGGGCGACACATGGCAGATGAATTTCAATGCGGAGAAATGTGAGGTAATGCATTTTGGTAGAATGAGGGGAGGCAATATAGGCTGGTAATACAATCTTAAAGGGGGTGAAAGAACAGAGAGACCTGGGGGTTCAGGTAAATGAATCCTTGAAGGTGGCAGGACAGGTAGATAACGCTCTAAAAAGGGCAAATGGATACTAGGCTTTATAAATAGGGGCATAGAGTACAAGAGTCAGGAGGTTATGATTAACCTATATAAAAACTGGTTAGGCCTCAGTTAAGAATATTGCGCCCAGTTCTGGGCACCACACTATAGGGAGGATGTTAAGGCATTGGAAAGGGCGCAGAGGAGATTTACAAGAATGGTACTAGGAATGAGGGACCTTGATTAAGAGAAAAGGCTGGAGAGGTTAGGATTATTCTCATTGGAGCAGAGAAGGTTACGAGGAGATCTAATAGAGGTCTTCAAAATCATGAGGGGATTTGATAGGTTAGAAAGGGAAAAACTGTTTCCACTGGTGGGTGTGTCAGTGACTCGAGATCACAGATTCAAAATAGTCTCTAAAAGAAGCCGAGCGGAGGTGAGAAGAATTTTTTTCACGCAGCGAGTTGTTCAAATCTGGAACGCATTGCCTGAAAGGGCGGTGGAGGCCGATTCGATAACTACTTTTAAAAATGCGGTGGACGGGTATTTGAGGAGGACGGGTTTGCAGGGTTATGGGGAAAGGGCTGGGGAGTGGGATTGACATTACATTGCTCTTCTCAAAGAGCAGCACAGACTCGATGGGCCGAATGGCCTCTTTTTGTGCTGTACGATTCTATGATTCTATGATTCGATCTATCCATCTACAAAAGTTTACATCTAGCAGCCACAGGTTCAAATTCTGGTCTTGCTTCCCAATCTTAACAAAGAAGTGCTGAACAGAAGTTGTAGTGTCTCCCAAGAGGAAGGGGGAGGGTTAAAAAACAAACCAGAAAGCTAAGTCACATCTGGGTGGTCCTGCCACTTCCTAGCAACTCACTGCAGGACAAATGGCAATGGTCTGGGACCAAGCCATGTCCTTGCTCTCACAGCGACAGGCATCGGTCCAAGCAAAGAATAAAGGAAGAAATACTAAAGGCGGAAAAGAACATCCACTGGAAATATGTTTCAGTAGCTTTTACTGTAGCAATCAAATAAAGCACACCAATCTCACTGAGGCTTCTAAAAAAAACCTTCTTATACTGCCTCATTAGCTAAAGACATTTTGACAATGTAACACAAAAAAATGTAAATAGCCTTGAATGTTCCTAAGGCCCTTGCAGCTTTGAGCCTTGATTAAATTATATTGTACACTATATTTTGATCTCATTATTGGTAAAGAATTTAAAGAAATTCTGCAGAACGCAAAATACCAAATGTCCTGATTACTATGCAGATTTGATGCATTTTTCCCACAATATCTGCAGGTTCTCCCCCACCTCCATTTACTCACGCCATTTGGATAAAATATTTCAAACCTGTTGAAGATACCGTGATTAACAGAGGGACAATAAAAACAGAAACTGAAGTTTTACCTTCCAAAATTCATCATCTCTTTCCTCATCCCCTTCCCAGAACTACCTACCATCTAAAAAAGCATCAACTCGAACCTTGGGGTTGTTTTGTAGGATTTGTTCTGTGGAGGGGAGGAAACAAACGTTTACCAGCTTGTTATAGTAAAAACATGTAATCACAGTTCCCGACACACATCTGTAACTTACAAGCATCCAAATAGACTTTGTCCACACCCCACCCCCACACATAAAAGCCATGTGTCCTCAGGATAAACTTCATCACCTTCTAAACAGTTCAAAAATGACAGGAAATTTTGTGGCACCAGGCTGACTGATATCAGTTTCAAACCTACTCTTAAAAAGACCTTCTCCCACTGGATTACTTAATCTAAAGCAGCCGTCCGCCTCATACAGTGTAAGATGATCCTGAAAGGATGTCAGTTTGGCAAGTTTCAAATGCTTCTAATGCCATTCTAAATGACAAGGGAGAAAAAAAAAGGTCTACATCATTAGCGTTTATTTCACTTTCCTAAAAACATACATAATGCTAAGCATTTTAATATAACAAAATATTAAACATTCTTAAATCAAGTCCTCTCATTTAGTTTTCATGGTACAGGTATTATAGTTCCAGCAGCAAGTAGCAAGAACAATAATTGGAAAGCAGTGTTCTGATATCATAGACGTTAAGTCATTTACTTAACAACGAAGCAGTATAGAGGTTCAAGTCCCAGCACTGTATGTCCTTTAAGCCTAACAACAACAGTTGTATGAGTTTCTGCAGTATTGTCTGCCAAATCATTAGAACAAGGACGTCATAACCTACCAGCTTTATAGCAGGAACAGCGAATTATTATGTACATTTAGGGTCGTCAGGATTTTAACTATTGCACATCACTATTAACTATTGGCTGCCGCGTTCGCCCACAAATATGCAGTCAATTCACTTTACAGTGGCTTCTGTGAAGCGCTTTGGGACGTCCTCTCGACGTGAAAAGCGCTATATCAAATGCAAGGATTATTATTATTATTATTATCACTAGAAACAACCAACCTCCACTATTTTGCTACATTGCAAATTGAAGTAAAAGTTTTATTTTAATATTATGATAAAAATACATTTGCCAAAACTGTCCCAAAAGCTGGCTGACAAAATTCAACTTCCAAAACTAAAGAACTAATGCCAATTGTTGGTACCATTATAGCTGCCCAAACTGAGATCTACCAACTCAGATATCATCCTGGTATGCATCTGTTCTGCATGTGTGTAACACACCATGCAATGAATTTTTCCACCAAACCATTGAACATGCAGTGATAATTTTTGCCAAATTTAAATAAATGCAAATGAATGCATAAAAACTCAATCAAATAAAGACCATGCTTATTGAAAGTGCAAATCATTAGCTTCAAGGGCACAGCTGTTATAAAACTAGACAACACAACCATATGTATACCAATCTTTTGTTAACCCAATTTGAGACCAGATTGAGTGGGGGTGTTTCTTAAACCTGCCTTCCAAGATAACCCAGTCAAATCTAATGAAACTCACCCTCATGTGTAACTGGAGTATAAATCAGTCAAGACAAAGATGCCAAAATTAAAGCCTGAGCCAAGACTCTTTACACTACATTGCATAACATATAAAGGATGATCGTAACCTGATAACTTGCAAATTGAAAATGAATTGCATTAAAATGCAGTGCAGATACATTTGCACCGTTTTGTTGATTTTTCACTCTTAAACTAGAAGTGATTAAGTGATAGTTCATTTGAGTGCTCCATATTAGATAAGATTTCCACAAATGAGGGATTTTGACTACCATAAAGAGCTACAACAATAAGAGGCATTTGTATAGCGCCCTCCACGCTGGGCGGCATGTCAGAGCACTTAACAATGGCAAAGCCCGAGGCTGAGCCAGGGGGAGAGGGAAGATGACTGTAAGTGCTGTCGAAAAGGAAGCTCTTCAGGCGCGTCCTGAAGATGGGGAAGGTGGGGGCAAGGCAAATGAGTTGAGGGAGGGAGTTCCGAACTTTCGGGGCGTAGTGGCTGAAGGCATAGCCACCAATGGTAGAGCGGAGGATTCGGGAGACAGGGAGGAGGCTGGATCCAGTAGAGGGGAAGCAACGGGTACTGCTGTGGGGGGAGAGGAGGTTAGAGAGATAGGGGGGTGCCAAGGAATGGAGGGATTTAAACACTATAATGAGGATCTTAAAGTCGATCCACTCAGTGACGGGAGCCAGTGAAGTTTGGCAAGAACTGGGGTAATCGGGTACAGTTTGGTGTGGATGAGAATGCGGGCGGTGGAGTTTTGAATGAGCTGAGTTTTGTGAATAGTGGAGGAGAGGAGCGTTACCGAGTAGTCCAGCTGAGAGGTGACAAAAGCATGGACAAGGATTTTGGCAGCTTTTGGGGTGAGGTATTGTCGGGAGACAGGCAATGTGGCGGAGGTGAAGGAAAGCGGTGCTGGTCAGGGACCAGATGTGGGGGAGGAAGGATAACTGGGGATCGAACCTGATGCCTAAGTTGCGCACGAGTTTGGAGAGTTTTAAGGAGAGGTCAGGTAGGTTGAGGAGGTCAGAACAGTGGGACAGAAGACGTTGACAGCAGCCAAAGAGTATGATTTCTGTCTTGTTGACATTTAACTGCAGGAAATTTGCATTCATCCAGCTCTTGATTTCCAACAGACAAGGTGACAGAACATCAGGGGACTGGGGGTCGGAGGTGGAAAAGTAGAGTTGAAAGTCATCCGCATACTTGTGGAAGTTAAATCCGTATCTGGAGATGACATCACTGAGAAGGAGCATATAGATCAGGAAGAGAAGGGAGGCCAAGGATGAATCCTTGGGGTACCCTACAGGTGATCGGTTGGAAGCGAGAAGAAAAGCCATTTGCAGAAATGTAGCACTGGCAGTTTGTAGGGTAGGATTCTAACAAAGTGAGTGCAGTCCCCCCCCCATTGAGGTGGATGATGGACAGGCGGTGGAGGAGGATGGCGTGACCGACTGCGTCAAACACGGCGGAGAGTTCCAGGAGGACTAGAAGGCAGACGGAGCCCTGGTCACAGATAGAGAGGATATTGTTTGTGACTTTCACGAGCGCTGTCTCTGTACTGTGGGCAGGGTGGAAACTGGACTGGAGGGGTTCGAATAGGGTGTGGAGGGAGAGGTGTGCATGAAGTTGGTTAGCAATAACGCGTTCCAGAACTTTGGTAAGGAAGGGCAGGTTTGAGATAGGGCGGTAGTGGCCGAGGTTGGAGGGACCGAGGATAGGTTTTTTTATAAGGAGGGGGTTTTTGAGGGGGAGTGGTACTGATGCTGAGGAGAGAGACTGGTTAATAGTGTCTACCAGCCGTGGGCAGAGGGGGAGCTGGGTGATCAGCAGTTGGGTGGGGAGGGGGTCAAAGCAGCAGGTTTCATTGTGGTGATGGTGGATGAGAGGGAGGAAGGAGAGATGGGGGCAAACGAATGTAGGATGGGGGCCGAGGTAGGTGAGGGAGACAGAATTGGGGTGGTGGTAGGCGACACTGGGCAGAAGGATGAAGCTGCCAGGTGGATTTTGTCAATTTTAGAGGTAAGGAAGTCCATGACCTCTTTGCACTTGGCGTTAGATGTGAAGATTGAGGGGGCACACAGAGGTCGACGGTGGAGAATAGAATTTTGGAGCTATTGTTGGCCTCTAGTATGATGTTTGAGTAGTGCGCAGTTTTTGCTCGCAACAGTGAGCGGCAGTAGGTGTGTAGATACTCGAGCCACAGCTGATGGTGAACCAAGAGGCTGGTTTTCTGCCACCTGTGCTCGAGCAGCCGGGTTTGGGATTTTAGGGAGCAGTTGTACCAGTCGTCTCTGCTCCCTAAAATCCCAAACCCGGCTGCCGGGTGGGTTTGGAGACAGACCTGGATTTCAGGGGGTCGAGGGAGTTGAAGATGAAGGCAAGGCGATTGTAGAGCAGCTTGACGGCTGCTTTAGGGTCGCTGAGGGTGGAAGGCCAGAGGGATAGGAGGTCTGAGAATGAAGATAAAGAACTACAAGGAGCAGCTTGTGTAAAGGTGGCAATATGTCAGATATAATAGTCAATCTCCAGGTTGCAGTTTGACACTTAGGTTTGCTTGTACTTTATTGAAACCAAATAGCCATCATCAAGGTCATAGGAGACAAGTGCATGCTTATGTAAATTGCCTGCATGCCTTAAGACGAGAAAAATTCTAGAAAAAAAATTAATAGTAATAATGGTATTCATGAAATTTTATACACTGAACAAAACATGATAGGAATTTATTTAAAAAAACATTTTACCATCATTGCTCTAAGATTAATAGAATGCTGTTGCCAAGAAATAATTTATAAAACAAATCCATTGGCTGAATATTGTAAATTTCAATGACAAGCAATTAGCATATTACCTTTAACTGTGCTCAAACCAAAAAAAAAAGCAAAAATAATGTTTGGCAATGACTCAATAATGCAGCTATCTTAGGTATAACTTGCTTGCATAAAAAAAATCTATGACTAATCTACATTATCTGTAGAAGCTTGCCTTTGCAAGATTACAACCTGCAAGTCATTTTTTAATAACAAGTATAGGTTTTTCCTCCTTCCCCATGATTAAAAATATTGTAATGTTTTGTGGTCACATACATTGTTAAATATGTACTCATCTTTGGTGGAGAAATACATTAATTTTTTTGAGAAAATAAACAAGCTCTCGCCTTATATATAAAAAACAAATATAAGCTGCTTGCACGCATCCAATGATGAAGTCAAGAAGAGACAAGTGCAGTCTGCATCACTTAGATTTTCACACGCCTTTGGCATTTTTGGTGGCATAACACCAATGTGCTGCCAAAGATGCTTCCAGTGCAAAAGCTTAAAACGTTGTACAAGTGGTTCATGCAAAGGGCTCCAACTACACAAAGACTGGGAGGGGCCGGAAGAGGAGGGAGGGACAGAAAGAGATAAAAAGGAAAGAATCCTGAGTTATGTTTGATAGGCAAAGCGTCAATTTCCATTATTGCAGTCAATGCTAGTGTACAACTACTGCCCATAAAAGCCACCACCATACTGAACATCACATATGAAAAGATTTAGGTGACTAGATAATGTACAGCAATAATAATCCTAGCATTTTATATAGCTCTTTTCACATCTTCTAGACGTCTCAAAGCGCTTCACTGAATATACTGTAAATTGAATTGACTGTATATTTGTGGGTAAAATGGGGCAGCTAATTGCGTACAGCAGTGTCCCACAAACAATCGTGGATTTGCAAATTATTATAGTTTTTTTTTCTTCAGGGATTATTATCAGGCATGTGGAGCAAGGAAACTTGCCCAAGGTTTCAGCCTGCCGGGAATTGAACTCAGGTCTCCCGCTTGCGAGGCGAGTGCTCTAACTACTGAGTTACAAGACTCCAAATAATCAAGACCCAAAATATCACTTAAATTGCTTCACAAAATAAATATTTTCCTGCACTAGTATCTTATTGCCTAATTTGTTAATTTGCTCACCTACATTAAGGATTGTTTAATTAATCCAGCCACAGAAATTAATCATTATATACGTTAAACCAATAAAAGAATTCCAGTGTCATTCCTTGCATCAATCTGGAAATTGGTATGTTTACTTGACTTTGCTAACATGCTGAGAGTAGGGGTATTTGTCCAAGCTGTAAGTAGGAGAATGCTCTCATTTATTCCATATGGAGTCAAGCTGTTCACCAAGAGACTCACAAGTTCTAACAGGTAGGGTGGACCCAACTCAGTGAACAAAGACCCAAACGGCAAATGGAGAGACAAAACTGACAGCATCTTCTACAATATAATTTTCATCCATTAAATTCTAAGGCTTTTCGCGTTGCACCATCTGATTTCATCAAAATATACAGTTTATATTATGTAGATTATTATATGAATTCTTTAATTTTTTTACCAAAAGGCAATTAGGTTAAATTTTAAAATCTATTTCAGCAGGTTACATTTATGAGAAAGATATTCACATAACCTCGCATACATGATCCACAACATTAACCTTTAGACAGTCTTAAACATCTCAAAGATTAGCTGCAGTCTTGAGTATTTAAAATAATCATTTTCATATTCTTGAGGTGCAACCATCGCACATTCCTCTCTTCCAGCTGGTCACAATTCCTCTTTTCTCAGAGGAATCTCTGGTCCTGTCTCTAGTGGCAAAACTGTATGCTGCAATAACGACTGGCCTTTCAAACTCTATTTAGATCAGACATTATGAAATGAATAAGATCATGGCTCAAGTGAATCATTCAGTTTAGTATAATCGCATTTATGGGAAATAGATTACATGTTCTACACCAATGCACTGTTGTTATTGCAAAATATTTTGGATAAACCAATTCAATAAAACAAACGTTCCATGATAGATTGAATAAGTAGAATAGATGTGGAGTCCTGAGCTCAAGTGGTTAGGGCACTCGTCTTGCGAGCGAGAGACCTGGGTTTGATTCCCGGCAGGGCGAAAAGTTGGGCAAGTTCCTTACTCCACACTCCTGTTTACCTAGCAGTAAGTAGATTGGCAGATCGCTTTTCCGGGGGGGTAATAATTCCTTGGTCACTTCAATCCACAGCTGTTTGTGGGATATTCTTTGAAGCGCTTTGAGACGTTTTGAGACATGATAAGGCACTATATCAAATGCAAGGATTATTATTATTATTATTATCCCTGATGAGTTAGGAAGCATATTCAGTGGACAACAGAGAAGGTCACAGGCTCCAAATCAAGCCTATGACCTGTACCAAGATAGCACTAGGAGATATTAGTTTTGATGACTTGTGATAAGGAAAGAGAGGGAAGAAAATAAATTCTGGCTCCAAACACCATCCACCAAATCTGACTGCGGAAATCAGAGGACAGGTTCAACCTGAGACCAACCCCCCCCTCCCAACCACAGGAACAGTCAAACTGCCTATACTCACTCACCCCAAGCTCACACATGAATGACAACTCGGATGAGATTTAAGAAGAAAACTTTCACCCATGGAACCATGCTCAATGGAAAGAAAGTCAATGACAGTCAAAAAAAAAGGAAGGGAGCAAAAATAAACCAGCATAAAAATGTGGAAATTGTATATGGAGTTTGCAGTATCAGCATAAATTATATCATGCAGGGGGTAAAATCGTATGTTTTCCAAAATAAAATATGAATAAAACAGTCACTGATACATCTGGTTTCTGTAGCAAATTCATTGCATCAACTGCCCAACCCAACTAACAGGGAGTATTCAAGGGAACCTTATTTCCCCCCTTAATTCCTGAAGCCAAATGCTCGTCAAATGATTGCTATTGCTGCAGAATTGTATAATTATTCCGAGACGGAAGTTTGAATTGAAGAAAAACGTTAAATCTCCCCCCCACCAAAAAAAAATTCCTCAATTTGGCAACCAGTATTCCAAATGACTTAGATGTTTCTGTGTTAGTGAGAAAAGCAATCCAAAGTCTCCAAATCCTAGCGTTCAGGTCTCATTTTGTCCTCTAGGTGAAACGCAGGAGTTGTATTCCTTTAATTCACCTTGGCTTTTAAGCGGAAAAATTTTTGCAAGTGACACATCCAACCAACCACTAGCAAAACATTTGTTGCCTTAATGCAGAAGGAGGAGGAAGAAAAAGGGAGGAAGGAGAGGGGTGAAAAGAGGCAAAACACATTCCATTGCAAAACTCACCTCCAAACAAAAAAATCCCACCCACTCACTCAAACCACCCACCCACCCAAAGAGGGAGAAAAACACTCTCGTTTCGCTTCGCCCCAACCCCCACACATCCACACACACACACACAAACCCCACACCCGCCACTCAAAAAAAGCATTTTTATATTAAAAAAAGTTTGCCACAACCTGTTACATAATCTCGCTGCGTTTTTATTATATTATTATAAATAATATAATAAAAAATAATTATGATTACACACACACGCGCGCGCATGTGTGTGTGTGTATATATATACACACATATATATATATAACAAAAGGAAGAAAACCTTGCAAGATGCAAGGGGTGGTGTTGGGGGTGTGGGGGTGGAGGGTGTGTGTGTGTGTGGTGGGGGGGGGGGGGGGAGAAGCAAGACACACACACACACACACAACCCCGTTAAACAATATTGCTCCAGGTCTCTCCGATGCCATGTCACGCACAGATTGTGAAGGAGCCCTGATCAGAGCCAGGCGCAGTGCAGTGCAGTGCTCGCTGGCTGCCATAAAAACACCCTTTGCCCCGGCCAATTTTTTTTTGGCTGCTTAACATTGATGTGTGTGTGTGTGTATGTATCTACACACACACACACACACATATATATATATATACACACGCACACACACACAATCTACACACACGCACAGAGCAACACCGACTCGAGTGTATTTTTTTTTAAAAATAACATGCATACATTCACGTTGGTTTTATATGAAAGAGGGAGGGGGAGGGTTGGGGGAGTGAGTGAGTGGGGTGATGGTGGGGTGGGGGGGGGGTGAAGTGAAACCCTCCTTACCTTCGGCCGCCAGGGTCGGCGAAAGCAATTCAACGTGCGAAAAAATCCCAAGTAGCAGCGCCAGGCGCACTCCGAAGCCGGGCATTGTGCAAACAAACAAATAATAATGCTGATGGTGATGGTGGTGGGTGGTGGTCGTAATCACACACACACAAGAAAAATCTCTCTGTGCATAGGGGAGGAGGAGGAGGATGGGGGGGGAAGAAGAAGAAGTCTCTCTCTCTCTCTCTCTCCCTCTGTTCTTCAAATCAGCAACGTTGGCTTCTGCTACTCGTTGGGATTCCTTTCCATCGCGCATTAAAAAGAGATGCGCCTTTTTTTTTGTTGAGGGGTGGGAGGGAGGGAGGGAGGAGGAGGAGGGTGAGGGGTGGTGGTGGTGTGGGGTGAGGGGTTTTAAATCAAATTAAAAAAAACAACACGCCACCCCTCCCCGAGATATCGGGGACTCCAAACGGGGGGGGTGGTGGGGGGGTGGGGGGGGTTGGCTCATGGAAAAAAAAAGATTTTGAGAGGAAAGAAGAGTGTGGGGTGGGTGGGTGGGGAGGGGTGGGGGGAGAGAGTGTGTGTGGGGAGGGGGGGGTGGATGGTGAGAGAGAGAGAGAGACAGAGAGAGGGGTTGGGGGGGGGGAAGAAAGAGAGACAGAGAGAGAGAGGGAGAGATGAAGTGAGGTCCTTTCACGTTTAATTCTCCAGGTTGAAAAAAAGGCTTTTTTTTCTCTGGAGGAGAAGGAGAAGAAAAAAAGATGAGGGGGAGGAAAAGAAAAAAAAAATCACACGGTGAGTGACTTGACTTGAATGGACTAACTGACTGACTGACTGACGGACGGACGGACGGATGGATGCAGACGGCGATATTATCCGGCGGCGCTGCCCCAACCGACCGCTGAGGGACTCCGCTGACTGACTGTGACTGACTGACTGACGCTCGCGACGCTCGCGGGCGCTCAACCCTCTAACTGACGCCGCTCGCGCTCTGGGCTCCGAGCTCGAGCTCCAGCGACGTCGCGGGCGCACGCACCGGGAGTCCCGTCCCGTCCCGCCTCGCGAGCGAGCGGTCGCGGTCGCGCGCGCGCGCTTGCGTGGGGTGGGTGCGTGCTGACGCTTTCGCCTCATCCCGCGCCACGCGTACGCTCGCCTTTCGCCCCGCCCTCTCTCCCTCCTCCCCCACCCCCCCCCTCGCGCTCTCGGCACATGCGCACTTGCTTTCCTCCGCTCCCTCATCCCATCTCCTGCTCCCAGCCTCTCTCGCCCGGAACGCCGGTCCCGCGCGTGCGCAGAGCGCTGGCGCAGCCGACCCCCACACGCCTTCTTCCCCCCAGTTCCCTTCTGCGCATGTGCGAAAGTAGCCTCTGTGTGTGTATGTGTGTGAGTGAGTGAATGAATTAATAATAATAATAATAATAATAATAATCCTTGCATTTGATATAGCGCCTTTCACGTCGGGAGGACGTCCCAAAGCGCTTCACAGAACACACTGTAAAGTGAATTGACTGTATATTTGTGGGCGAACAATTGAATGAATGAATGAATGAATGAATGAATGAGAGAGGGGCTGAGATGCAGCCCTGACCAGGGGCGCAAGTGCCTACTGGGTAGTGAGTTCTCTTTGTCTTCTTCCTTCTTCCCCCCCCCCACCTCCCCATTGAAAGCAATAAAAAAATCAAGGAGAGTAAATCAGAATAACCCTTGCGTTTGACGCAGCCCCGTATCACGTCTCCGAGACGTCTCAAAGTGCTTCACAGAACGTACCGTGAATAATAATAATAATCCTTGCATTTGATATAGCGCTTTTCACGTCCGTCCCAAAGCGCTTCACAGAACACACTGTAAAGTGAATTGACTGTATATTTGTGGGCGAACGCGGCAGCCAATTGCACACAGCAATGTCCCACAAACAGTCGTAGATTGAAAATGACCAATTTATTATTGTTTTGTTTTGGAGGGATTATTATTAGGCTCTGTGTGGAGTAAGGAAACTTGCCCAAGGTTTCGCCCTCTGCCTGGAATTGAACTCAATTCAAAGCGAGTGCTCTAACCACTGAGCTACAGGACTCCACAAAAGTGGATCGACTGTCTTTTTTACAGCTGATGTGTTATATGAATATATGAATATGATATAAATATATCGAACATTACACGAATAAACAATCATGTAATTTTATATTAACAAATATAATCATGCAATGCAATAATCATATAATATAATAAATAATCATATAACGTAATAAATAATCATATAATCAGCCCCAAAACTCTGGAACCTTCTTCCTTTATCCCTCCGTCTTGCCCGCTCCTTCCCCATCTTCACGTCGTGCCTGAAGTATAAATGCAAGTTGTTGTTATAATATTCAGACAGCAAAGAGGTGGACTATTAAATCAGGGCTTGAAAAAAATGTTTAATACTTCAGGCAGAAAATGGTAAATATGCAATAGTTGGAAGAAGGAAATCATAGAATCATAGAATTATACCGAACAGAAGGAGGCCATTCAGCCTATCGTGTCTGTGCCAGCTCTTCTGAAAGAGCTATCCAAATCAATCCCACTCCCCCGCTCTCCAATAGCCCTGCAAACTTGTCCTCCCCAAATAATTATCTACCTCTCTCTTAAAAGTTGTTATCAAATCAGCTTCCACCACCCTTTCAGGCAACGCATTCCAGGACCGAACAACTCGGAATAAAGGAGTATGGGTGAGGAGGATAGGAGGGGGCTTGTGTGGAACATATACACTGGAACAGACTAATTGAGCCAAATGTTTCCATGCCAGACGGTATCATTCTACATAACTAATAAAATTAAAATCCTTGCACTTGGTAACTGTGCTTTTTACGTGTGGTGGACATCTCTAAGCACTTCGCAGAACTCACTGTAAAACTAGTGTATTTGTAGCAAACCTGCATCGCCTACTAAATGCATAATCATAATTCCATTTGCTTATCAATTCAAAATCTCTCAAGGGGCCTTAGAGGTAATGTCAAGTGTAGTCACTGTTTCATGAGACAAAACAATTGATCGTCCATATTCACCACTCTGTGCGGAGTCAAATCTGACCTGTCCACCTTTCCTCTGTGCTGCATTTGCTTAGTATCTCAGGCAGCCGTGTTAAAAGACAATGGAGAAGGGAAATGGATGTTTTAGACTTGGTGTTGTTTACATTTTAGAAATTTCTGGTCCCTCTACTCAAAACCAAACCGTCTGTTCCAACCATGTGTTTAAATGTAGTTTTCTTGACTCTCCAATGCCTTGTGGTGGTGAGTTGCATGGTGTAGGGAGGAACTTATGTTTTGTAGTGCTTCAAAGAACTTGCAAATAATTACTGTCAAGTTTATTTGCAGGGAAATGTGAATCATTTGCCGCAGCTAGATCCCAGATCTGTGAGGTCTATGAAGAGAATAATCAATTAGGCTGAAGGATTTTTGGTCAAGACACTGTGAGAAACTCCCTTTTCTTTTTCAATGGTATCAGAGGATCTTTAGCATTCACCTGAACAGGCAGATGGGACCTCACTTTGGTATCTAATCTGAAAGAAAATGATGCTCTGAAAATGCAGTACTGCGCTGAAGTAATGAAGTAAAGACACAATGTCCCAACAATCTTTTTACTATGTATTTATAATTGGATTTCCTGTGATTAGAAAACTGCTTGTGTTATCTCTCAGTGGGTGATAGACCTCTTATCTCATTAAGAGGGAGTCTTGATGCTAAGTTTTATGTTTTGAATACAATCTCTTCTCCTTAAAGTGTTAGGCTCAAGCTGTGATACAGTTTCACAGATAAACAGTGTTCCCATCCACTGCCCAAGAAGCCTTTCTTGTTGCGTAGATGAAACAGCCAACAGACGAGCCAGTCTCAGAGGCTTCACAGCCAAACCTGATCCTATCCTCATCAGTGTACATTCCCACAAAGGTTAATGGATAGTGATCAGGACCTTGTCCAGAGGCAATGAAGCTCACTATAGCACCTCCATCGTCACCCTGGCTGAGATAAGTCAACTCTATACAGATCAGGGATTGAATCTGAGGTTCTCTTGGTCCATATGACCCAGCGCACTATTGATCCACCGAGAGAGCTTCCCTTCAAAGAGTTAAACATACATTGTCGAGGAAGAGGACAGTCTGGGATGTCTCAGCATCTTTAGCTGCACTCTGGAGGCGGTTCCCATTCAGGTCAAGTAGACATCAGGCAGTGTGACCCAGACAGGAAGACAGTAATAAACAACAGGCTGAATTAGACTATCAGCCAGGAGATCGTAAACTTTCTGAAGAGCAACGGTAAAGCACAACGTGAAAAGGATTCTTGCAGGGACATTAGCATTTCGACGTTAGAGCTTAAAAGAGTATCGTTTCAATTTTAATATCCCAAAGTTGAAGTCACATCTGTAACAGAAATACTCCAGCTGCGGTCAAAGCCCTGCTCGTTACAGGGCATTTGGTCTGTCACTGCTCAGGATTGTCCCCTGCGGTGAGTTCCTTATCTTGGTCTGGCTGCCAAGAGGAAGCATAGAGGGGCAGCAAGGGAACTTTCCCCTTAGTGACAGGGCTGAGGCACCAACAACGCAGGCCGGGCTCACTCACTGTGTGCCATAGACAGGGGAGGAAAATTTTTAAAAAAATACAAAATTAAGGAATGGAAGAAATTTGCCACCTCGGTAACTTTAACACTGGTGTCCCAGTATGAGGAAAACAGAATTCCAAGGGTAGAGTTACATCAGCCAGTGTTTATATTGGTTCACGAGCTTCAACATATGTTTAAAAATAGCCATAAAGTTTCTCCACAGATGATTCGAAAACAGCAATCAAGCCAATCTGGGGAGGCATTCCAGTTAATGTTAGGCACGAAGCAGTTTCCTAATAGTTACATGATGCGGACGCTCAGAGCAGGACTGAACTGGATGTGTAAAGGAAGTCAACACAGCAGGGGACAGTAACATGCTATTTGCTCATGTTGTGGCGCACGGCGTCTTCTTAAAGAGGAATGGGACAGAGAAGTGGCTAAGGCTGGCTGTTGGATCAGAAGGTTGTGAGTTCAAGCCCCATAATGGGACTCACTGGGGAATGCGCCATTGTCAGCAGTGTTTGACTGCATAGCAACACTTATAAAAATAATAATGCTTGCATTTGATACAACATCAAA